GGGTGTAGCCCAGCAGTCTGCTTTAGCAAGCCCTACATTTGATTCTGATGCTGACTAAAGTTCGAGAGCTGCTGTGTGAAGGCCTATCATGCAGTCTGTTCTGGAACCCTCTCATTTTTTGGTAATGACAAATACTGCTCATCTTTCTTGCCCACTTTGCTTTGCAACTCTTGCTCACAAAGTTTTCCTTCCACTTTTGAACATCCTTCTGCACGCGCCTCTAGAGCATAGCTCCGGCCTTCTCCAGCTAAGGCCTGATACAGACCATATGGAGGGTTTCAAGGCCGGGTAAGTAGTTTGTCTCTAGAGAGCTTAGTGTGAGACCTGAAGGAGTGAAGTGCTGGCCTGCCGGAACACAGCGACATTTAAAAAAGTGAAGTCACAGTAGCCCAGTGAAAAAACACCCAAACCAAATGTGGCTGCTGGCCATGAGTTCGCACTGACTTCTTGAGTGTTCTCTCTAATCAATCGGCAGCTCTTTGACTGTGGGAGACTGAGTGCTCAACAAGGAAAACCTTGATCCTGAGCCCAGTCGGCCAGGCAGCGATAAAAACGGCAGCTTCCTAGAGTTAAATCTTACTCGTATTGGAAGGACAATCGGATATCTCAGGAGTGATAATTTTAAATTTATTTTTAAGGAGCAGGTGAGACTAAGACAGAAAACTGATTCAGAGATCTTCCATCTACCTGCCGTTTCACTTTCCAAATACCCACACTGGCTGGGGCTGGGCCAGGGAGCCAGGGGCCTAGGACTCCGCCCGGCTGCTCCAGTTTCTTGGCCATCACTGCTGCCTCTCAGGGTGCGATGAGCAGGAAACTGGATCAGGAGTTGAGTGGAGATTCAAAGCTAGGATCTCTCATCCTAACGTGGGTGTGCCACGCAACATGCTGACACTGCTGTGCCATGCATGGGTCCTACTCACGGAGTGTTGGAAGATCAGAGTAACGTATTTAAAAACATCTGCTCTACAATAAATCCTCAACAAATATTTCATAGTGTTTGTAGTACTTGCTGTGCATTTTCTATTAATCATATGCCTTACTTTTTTTTAAAAAGATTTATTTTTATTATTATTATTATTTTCTCATTGGAAAGGTGGATATACAGAGAGGAGAGACAGAGAGGAAGATCTTCCATCCAATGATCACTCCCCAAGTGAGCGCAACGGCCGATACTATTCCGGTCCGAAGCCAGGAGCCTCTTCCGGGTCTCCCACGCGGGTGCAGGGACCCAAAGCTTTGGGCCGTCCTCGACTGCTTTCCTGGGCCACAAGCAGGGAGCTGGAAGGGAAGCGGGGCTGCCGGGATAGAACCGGCGCCCATATGGGATCCCAGGCGTTCATATGCCTTACTTATAAACAATTTACTTTAGCCTTCTCTTTTGATAAGCACTTGGCTACCCTGGGACACAGTTGGCTTTCTGCCTCCCTTTAGTTCCTACTTCAGTTTCCAGTCTCATCCAAGCCCAGCACAGACTTTAACCAAAGCTTGAGACGGTCTGATTGCATGTGGCAGGGATTCAGAGCACAACAGTCGACTCTTAGTATAGATGGACATTTTATGTAGGCAAGTATGTATGTATGAGCTGGCTTGTAACCAGCTCCAAAATCATGATCCCCTCACTCATATTAAAACAAAATGAGGCATTGATGGTTGTGCACTGTTGTTAAAAGTGAATGACTTATGCTTTTACATTTACCATGTTTGTTAAAAGCAATACAGGAAGTCTAGAAGTTTCATACTAGAAGTGATGAAAATAATGAGTTTCTGTTTCAACTTTGTTTTGCTGTTCAGATATTAGAGGTGCTGGGATGGTGGAAGCGGTTGGTATCAGAACAGCTAACAGTAGGGACACAGCTGGGAGCAGTTCCCTTCCCGTCCCTCACCTACCCATGCCTCCCCAAACCCCATACAAGAGAAAGGGAAAGAAAAGGAAAATTGGAAGCATTAAGCATTTGTCCATCCACCTTCTCCCATGCTTTAACCCTCCCCACCCTAGTCAGTGGTCCTCAGTGGCTTGCATTCCTGTCCACTATGTAAACAACAACAAAAATAAAATAAGAAAAAAGAAAACAGTAGGTGCACTGCTCATTTTTCCCGTCTGGAAAACTGAGACAGTAAGATTATCCCACAAAAATCGTGTGGGTTAATTAGGGTGCAGGCATTTAACCTAATGGTTTAGATACTCATCGTCCACAAGAAAATGCCTAGTTTCATTCCAGGTTCTAAGTTCCCAGTTTCCCACTCAGCAAGCAGAGTTGAAAGTAAAATATCTAGTTCTGATTAACTGGGTTCCTTCCCCGCACCTGGGACACCTGGACTATGTCCTACCTCCTGGGTCCTGCCTGGCTGACCCAGGCTCAGCGCTCCAGGGCATTCAATGTGTGAACCAGCAAGTGGAGGTCACCTCTTGGTAGCAGGCAAATAAAAAATAATACTAATAAAAAAGAAAGCTAATTAGGTAATTAAGTTCATCTCAAGTAGGGAGAAGCAGGAAACACAAGGATCTATGGAGCTAAGGGTTAGAGGATTCCTGCACTCCCAGGGCTACAATAAAAAAAAGTGAATACCTCTGCCTTGAAAAAATTTTTCTCTTACTTGGTGCGTTTTCTTCCCTTCTAAGTGCCAATAAAATATTAACTCACATATTGAATTTACCATGCTTAATATCACTGCCCTTTATGTTCATTTTCTTTATGAATTCTGTACCTGCAGACTTTAAATTAATGACTTTCAAAGTAAATGATCTAATTCAATTATACAACTGCTTGGAAACTTAACTATTCTCACATGAACTAGGTTTTATTCAGGCATATTTGTTTTTTTCTCAGAAGGATACTTTTTAAAATATTTATTTATTTTTGTTGGGAAGGCAGATTTGTAGAGAAAAGGAGAGAGAAAGATCTTCTGTCAGCTGGCTCACTCCCCTAGTGTCCACAGCAATTAGAGCTGAGCTGATCCAAAGCCAGGTGCCAGGAGCTTCTTTCAGGTCTCCCAAATGGGTGCAGGATCCCAAGGCTTTGGGACGTGTTCTACTGATTCCCTAGGCCACAAGCAGGGAGCTGGAAGGGAAGTGGAACAGCCGGAATATGTATTGGCACCCATATGAAATCCTGGGTGCATGCAAAGGGAGGACTTTAACCACTAGGCTACTGTGCTGGGCCCAAAAGGATAGTTCTTAAGACTATGAAAAATACAGCAAGAAATGAGTTTAAATATAAAACCCAGTTTTGGAAAGAATGTTCTAACTCGACCTGATGCCACATAGGAAAATGAAACCCTGACCAATGAAACTCACTATCCTTGGCAAGCCAGAGAAAAACTCTCCATTTCTTAACTGGGGTGAGAAGTGGCTACTTTGTCAAGGTGGGATTCAAAAATGACATATTCAAATGCAATTTAATAAACGTGCTTCTCCATTCATGTATTTCACCTGAAGGAAAAATCTTACTAATGTTAAGACCTCAAAGTGCATGGCAGAACTGGAACTGTAGACTACTGTCATTTCAAGTGCTCATACATTTTCATCATTCAAGTCTTGGGAAGTAAAGTTTCACTCGGGTGTAAATGCTCAGTCACAGCAGAAGATAACTTACACTTAAAGGGCATATATTTCCCAAATTACAAACATTCAATTACAATCAGTTCTTCCAGGCTGCTACTATTCTCTTACTGTCTGAATAAAGACTGTTTCCTTGTGCGAATTAATTTTTGAGAAAAATTTCATTGGTGAATATTCCCTTCAAGATATGTAACATTATTTACATTGTAACGAAGGTACATTATGGAAGTAACACTTCTTGCAATGAATAAAATTGGCGAGAAAACACCACTGGAAGGAGTTGTCTTTTAAGCACTTCTTTTGAAGGAAACTACAGACAATTATTAGACGCAAGTCAGTACCAACAACCTTCATGAGTGTCTATCCAATGTAGCCCACTTGAAAATATCAAATTCTACTTACTAAAAAAAATAAATAAATAAACCTATTGAGGCAGACAGTTTTCTTGTCAGCTATGTAAGAAATTATTCATGAATTGTACTGGTGTCTCTATTTTGTGCCAATGTTTCAAGATTTTTTGAGGGAATTATTTTACAACAGGCAAATAATGAAATAATGGTGGCTGCCTATCCTGAAGCCCAGCAAAACGTCAGGGCCTAATAGCTATACTGAAGTCATGTAAACAGTAATTGAGAACGGGCTCATTCACAGAGGCCTTCATCTTGAACAACTCATATAATTCCTTCTATTCTCCATTTCTTTAATTCTAAATGATGTTAACAACACCCGGAAAAGGTATTCCTGAACTGTGGAAGGATCAACTACATGTGAACACATGACGTGGATTATAAAGCAGCAGTAATTAAGTGACAGCTACTAATTCTACGTCATTCTGCCTGTCTATTCCCATGCCTGCAGAATGCGTTCAGACTGAGGTCTGAAAGCCCATCCAGTCACTTATTGGCTGTGTGAACTCGAATGGGTCATTTTTTTTTTCTGGATCAGTTTTTGGAGATGGTCATTATGAAAATTAAATGCTATTGAGCATATTAATGCTGTGCCAGACATTAGTTCAGAGTTTAACTAATACCTGCCGTTAAATTAATATCCTCATGTGACAATTTTTAAGGAGCAAATGAAGGTCTGTTTAGTTAAAACGCTTAATGCATACATATCTACATGCATACAGAAACTTCGACGCACAGTCAAGGTATTACCATTTGTACGGCGACTTGCAGATACACAGGAAACCAGAAACCAAATGGCGCCCCAGTGACTCCACAGGGCGGGGGGCAGAGGCCGAGAATTGGGCTCGGGCGCCTCGCTGGCTCCACGCACCCGTAGGAATGAGAATGCAGACGTGGAACAGAAAAAGGTCCTCACAAAACACCTCGAGAATCCATTCTTTCCCCTTCTTTAAGTCCTCCGGTTTGGACTAGGCCACTTCATCCAACTTTCCCGACCGCCCTCTCCCTGGACATTTATTTATTTACCGTACCTTCTTTACTGAGCGCTTTTCCACTGCCCCTCCCCTTCAGGCCGCCGTGAACTTCAGACCCTCCGCTGCGACTCCCACTCCCTTAATTCTTATTTTTCCCAAGCTTGCCTACATCTTCCCTCCGCCTAAGACAGCAGCGTAGCTGGACGCACCGCAGGGCATCCTTGGAAATGTGGTCTGTCGGAGTCATTTGCCTGGACCGCACAGTGGGCAAGACGCCATAGGAGAGTTAGTTACAACTACAAATCCCGAGAGGCAATGCAAAATCACCATCTTCCTCTCTTGCCCTCCCGTTTCTTAGGTTTCCTTTTCCTCCTCTTCGCAGGCGCTAAGCCGCTAGGTCGCACGGTATTTGTAGTTTCCTGGGGACCTAAATTCTTAGCGTTCGGTGGTCAGGAGAGCGGCTAAAAGACTCTACTTCCCAGAGGGCAGAGCGGAAGCCGCGCTTGCGCACTCTCTGTGAGGGCGTGTATGTCTGTGTGTCTGAGGGAGAGAGAGCGAGAGTGAGTGAGTGTGAGTGCGGGGTGGGGTGGTGGCCGTTACGTTCGGGGCAACGGCTACTGCTGTGGAGAAGTAAGAAGAGAAACAACGTCCGGCGCTTCCGCCTTCGCTGAGGAGGAGGAGAAGGAGCTGGTAGGAAAAGGAAAGTGATCCGTCCTGGGCCTGGACCAGACCCGAGTCGGGCTGGTGGGGGTCCGGGCTATGAGCCTGTGAGGGTCGCCTGGGACGCGGAGCGAGACTCGCCGGCCGAGAGCTATGTCCCAGCCGCCGCCGCCGCCTCCGCTGCCGCCGCCGCCGCCACCCCCCGAGGCCCCACAGACTCCGTCGTCTCTGGCGTCGGCGGCGTCCATAGCTCCGGGGGGGCTCTCGAAGCGGAGAGATCGGAGAATCCTCTCCGGGAGCTGCCCGGACCCCAAGTGCCAGGCGCGTCTCTTCTTCCCGGCCTCCGGTTCTGTCAGCATCGAGTGTACCGAGTGCGGACAGCGGCACGAGCAGCAACAGCTGCTGGGGGTGGAGGAGGTCACCGACCCGGACGTGGTGCTGCACAACCTGCTGCGGAACGCGCTGCTCGGGGTGACGGGGGTCCCCAGGAAGAACACGGAACTGGTCAAGGTGATGGGCCTTTCCAACTACCACTGCAAGTTGTTGTCGCCCATCTTAGCTCGCTATGGCATGGACAAACAGACAGGCCGGGCCAAGCTTCTGCGGGACATGAACCAGGGGGAACTGTTCGACTGTGCTTTGCTGGGCGATCGCGCCTTCCTCATCGAACCAGAACATGTCAACACGGTGGGCTATGGCAAGGACCGCTCTGGAAGCCTTCTGTATTTGCACGACACCCTCGAGGACATCAAGCGAGCCAATAAGAGTCAGGAGTGCCTCATTCCAGTGCATGTGGACGGGGATGGGCACTGCCTGGTGCACGCCGTGTCTCGGGCCCTGGTAGGCCGGGAGCTTTTCTGGCATGCCTTGAGAGAGAATCTGAAGCAGCACTTTCAGCAGCACCTGGCCCGATACCAAGCACTGTTCCATGACTTCATTGATGCCGCTGAGTGGGAGGACATTATCAATGAGTGTGACCCTCTGTTTGTGCCACCTGAAGGCGTTCCCTTGGGTCTGAGGAACATCCACATATTTGGGCTTGCCAATGTGCTACATCGTCCTATTATCCTGTTAGATTCCCTCAGCGGGATGAGAAGCTCTGGCGATTATTCAGCCACTTTTCTGCCTGGACTCATCCCTGCAGAGAAGTGTACTGGGAGAGACGGTCACTTGAACAAACCAATCTGTATTGCGTGGAGTAGTTCCGGTAGAAACCATTATATCCCCTTGGTAGGCATAAAGGGGGCTGCTTTGCCCAAACTTCCAATGAATTTGCTTCCTAAAGCATGGGGCGTGCCTCAGGACCTTATCAAAAAGTACATCAAACTTGAGGATGATGGTGGCTGTGTGATTGGAGGAGACAGAAGTTTGCAAGACAAGTACTTACTTAGACTTGTTGCTGCTATGGAAGAGGTCTTTATGGACAAACATGGTATCCATCCTAGTTTGGTTGCTGATGTCCACCAGTATTTCTACAGAAGGACTGGGGTGATAGGAGTGCAGCCTGAAGAAGTTACAGCAGCTGCTAAAAAAGCAGTCATGGATAATCGCCTTCACAAATGTTTGATGTGTGGTGCCCTTTCCGAACTTCATGTTCCTCCGGAGTGGTTGGCTCCAGGAGGGAAATTGTATAACCTGGCAAAAGGTACTCATGGGCAGCTGAGGCCTGACAAAAATTACAGCTTTCCCTTAAACAATTTGGTGTGCTCCTACGATACAGTGAAAGATGTTCTGGTACCAGACTATGGATTGAGTAATCTAACAGCTTGTCATTGGTGCCATGGCGCGTCTGTGCGTAGGGTCAGAGGAGATGGGTCTATTGTGTATTTGGATGGAGACAGAACTAATAATAAGTCTGCTGGTGGCAAATGTGGTTGTGGATTCAAGCACTTTTGGGACGGTAAAGAGTATGACAATCTACCGGAAGCTTTTCCTATCACTTTGGAGTGGGGTGGAAGAGTGGTCAGAGAAACGGTGTATTGGTTCCAGTATGAAAGTGATCCATCTTTGAACAGTAATGTTTATGATGTTGCAATGAAACTTGTTACCAAGCACTTTCCCGGTGAATTTGGGAGTGAAATCCTAGTTCAGAAAGTTGTCCATACTATCTTGCATCAGACTGCCAAAAAGAATCCTGATGATTATACTCCTGTAAACATAGATGGTGCTCACGCCCATAGAATCGGGGATGCACAGGCACAAGAATCGGAGTCTCAGCTCCCTACGAAGATTATCCTTACCGGGCAGAAGACAAAGACTTTACACAAAGAGGAGTTAAACATGAGTAAAACTGAAAGAACTATTCAGCAGAATATTACAGAACAGGCTTCTGCAATGCAGAAACGGAAAACAGAGAAGTTAAAACAAGAACAAAAAGGGCATCCCAGGACTGTTTCTCCCAGTGCCATTCGTGATGGTCCGTCCTCTGCACCTGCCACCCCCACCAAGGCTCCTTACTCACCTACAACTTCCAAGGAGAAGAAGATCCGAATAACAACAAACGATGGCCGGCAGTCCATGGTTACGCTTAAATCTTCAACGACCTTTTTTGAACTCCAGGAAAGTATAGCCAGAGAATTCAACATTCCTCCCTATTTGCAGTGTATTCGGTATGGTTTTCCTCCTAAAGAGTTAATGCCACCACAGGCAGGAATGGAAAAGGAGCCAGTTCCCTTACAGCATGGTGACAGAATCACAATAGAGATTCTGAAAAGTAAAGCAGAAGGTGGCCAGCCTGCTGCAGCCCACTCAGCCCACACTGTGAAACACGACGAGATTGCTGCGACTGGTAAGCTGTCTAAGGAACTTCAGGAGCAAGCTGACAAAGAGATGTACTCCTTGTGTCTTTTAGCAACGTTGATGGGTAAGATCAACTTAACTAGATGATTTATATTGACTTCATTGTGAGGATAACACTGGTTTTGTGCTGTTATTGGGAAACTGGTTGTTGCTAATATTTGACTGTATATATTAGAAAATTATTTTGAGAGGAGGAGCTATCAGTATGTGTATTGTTGAGTAAGTATTAGGAAAACATAACTAGAAAGTGAAAGTAGTCCATCTGTCACTGAATTTTTAAAATTTTTCTTAGAAATTTTTCATTGTAAACACAGGCTTGTAGGCTATTTATAACCCCTTCAGTTTTTGGGGTTTTTTTTGGTCTAAACTTTATTGAGCATTGATTGCCACTTTGCCCTTTTCTCTTTTATTTTTAAAATTTGTTTTCCTGTGTCATGTGACTTCAGGACTTCCTGTTGGATGAGTTGCAGTTTCTGTGTTTTTATTCTCATTGTGTTCCCAGTTAGTAGTCTCTCCTCTTCTGCTCTCTTTCTCAATTCATCACATTTTTTTTATTTGTACACTGAAGTTTGTGTTTAAGTAATTTCTTTGCTCAGTGAATGTTTCTACTGATATTAATAAACTAAATAAAGCTCATGAAAAACAGATAATAATATGGTTAAGAAATATTTCTGTTTTATAGGTTAGCATAAGTTTAAGGGAAGCATGTTATCAGCCAGATATGTAATTTAGGGCTTTAGAGGATCTGGAATATTGTCCAAGTTTTTATATTACCTGTGTTTGCTTAGTCTTTGTCTTTAAATCACTGTTAGTATGTCTTACTAAGTCTTAGAAGTGAAGTAAAATTTAAATACGTTAGATTTTTAAAGAGCTTTATTTTTGCTGAGATTAGAGAGCTTTCTGTGAGAAAAGGCATCTGTGTTTTGTGTTTTCGGATTGTTCTGAAGAGCAGTGAATTGACCTAAGTAAAAATTTTTATTTCTGGCTTGCTAAGTCTAGAGCCTAATAAATAAAACCCTGCACAAGTTTGTAGCTTGATATTGCTGTTGTTAAATGTTAGGCAAATGTACTAATTTTATGAAGGAATATGTTAGAAACTATACTATTTATGTCTGCATGGAATAGAGGAAAGATTGTGTGATCTTTGAAGTTAGAAAAACTTTTAGTATTAGCTCCACACTTAAGAGTGATTTCAGATAAGCTACTTAAATTTTCAGTAGCTCTAAGTGCTTCTTCCTTTATATCAAGTACTGCCTGTAGTTTGTGTTTCAGGTCAGAGGAACAGTATTCCTAGAATTGTAAGAATTAAAGAATATTCTCACAGAATGGATAAAATCAAATATAGTCAAAAAGGCATTTGAAAGCCTGGAATTTCCCAGGCAAAAGCAGGAAAGAGAAGCTCTTCCTCAACAGAAGATGAACTTGAGGGAATAGCTTGTATTTTTTTCTGTTGTTATTTGCTCACCACCTGTAATATTACCCAACAGGTATTGGACAGTTAAGACATTTTGATTGGACTAAATAGATGACGTTGATGTGTCAGGAAAAAGGCTGTAGCTGCAGAAATGGAGTGGATGGTCAGCACTGATCATTGAGGAAGACTCAAAGGAGAATTTGGCAGTGTTGATACATTGTCTACAAACTAAAAAGATTCATCTTCTGAGTTCAGGAAAATTATGGTAACTAGAAAGATAATTTCTGTTGGGGGACAGGATCAGCCCTGTGCATGTCATGGGTAAAAGATCCCTGTCACTTTTTCTGGTTCCTTAAACATTATCACTCATTTTGCTTGCCTGTCATAAGGTTTCTATCTTTTTCTTTTTTTTTTTTTCTTTCCTTTTTTAATACAGATTATTTTGCTTGAAAGGCAGAATAGAATGACAGAAGGATAAGAGGATGAGGAGGGGTCTGGGAGAATATCTGCCATGTGCTGGTTCATTCCTTAAATGCCTACAACAGCCAGGGCTTAGACAGACATAAGCCAGGAGACGGAACTTCACTGGTAGAAGCAAACCAAGTACTTGGGCCCTAATCTTGGCATGTCTGTCTCCATGGCACATTAGCAGGAAGATGGAAGAAAAGCGCCAAGTAACTGGAACTCAAAGCCAGCCCTCTGATGTGGTTAGTGGGCATTTCCAGTGGAAGTTTACCACACTCCACCACAACACAAAATCACAAATTTTGGTGTACAAGTGAGAGTACAAATAAGCAAAATGTTCACTTTTGAAGACTGTTCTTCATTGCAGATTAATAAGTAGTTTATGAATCTGACTAGTATGATAATATTTCATAATGAAAATCAGTAAAATATAATTCTGAGTTATATGTCTTAAGATTTGTTTTGTTTGAATGGCAGAGTTAGAAATCAGTATGTTCTGTTTGCTGCTTCACTCCCCGAATGGCGGCAGCAGGCAGGCCTTGGCCAGGCTGAGGCCAGTGGCCTGGAGCTCCCTGCTGTGCTCTCGTGTGCATTGCATATACTCACTTTTGGAGTTTGATTTGAGAACCTTGGACTTGTGTATCGGACAGCAAGATTAAATGGATTGCAGTGAGTTCAGGACAGTAGTATCTTGGTGTTCTGATGACTCCCATTTTCATTTTCAGCATTTATATTACTGTCCACATAACCAATTCCTGCTAACAGTAGAATCAGCATAAAATTTGAAGTTTTAAAAAAAATATTGAAGTGTGGCACTTGATTTTCTGCTTTAAAGTAAAAAGATAGTGTATAGCTTGTAGTAATCCTTGTATGAACATTAATTTTCTCCCTCTAATTCTCTTGTAAATGTAACTGAATCCTGTCATTGGTATTATCCATAAAAAGCTGTATGTTTGTGCAAGTATAAATTTGGGAGATATATATGTACATATACATATCAATTTGGGATATTAGTTGCGATATTTATAAATATCACTTTGGAGTATTTAAATATCATCAATTTGGGATATCAATTGGGATATGTATGCATTATATATAATATTAATTTAGGATATATATATATGTAGTGTGAAAAGCCTAACGAACTATTGATATTCAGTTGGACAAGATTGAAAAATGGTAAGGCTCTTTAAATATTGCAAATTTCAAAGTATAGAAATTACTTTATGAAATAGCAAATTTGAACTACTATGATTAGAAAATAGTTTATTGAATTTAAGGTTGTTTTAAAAAGCAGATGTTTAAATTCAGGCTTAACTACTGCGTTTGAAGGGTTTGAGAGATCTGTGCTGGCCAGTCTGCCTAGGTTCTGCCTGTCATTGTGCCCTGTTCACTTAACTCACAGCATCCATCACAAATTCTAATTTTATTTGCTGGTTTAACTTTTGTGTTTGCCTTCCTTCCTTATTCTAAAGTAATGCCTATTTTATTCACTAATGAATACCTTATCACCTACTTCAGAGTCTGGCACATTGTTGATAACTAATGCTTGTTCAAGGAATGGATGTAGATTATTTCAGCAAAACTGAACCTATGCTCTGAGCTGGAAACTTGTGGGGGTACAGAGATGAATGAATTGGAGCCACTCCTTGCCTTAATGGACTTGTCTGTAGGTTCTCCACTGAGGGAATTCCATGCTTTTAACAGTTTTAATCAATAGATTTCCTGCTGGCTTTTCTAAAAAAGCAAGTAAAAATTATCAAGCCCCAAAATATGATCAACATAGTATTTTAGGAGTTTCTCAGTTGGTTGAGGTTGGTGTGTGTTGTATGTGTGCATGAAAATTGTGTATCATCTTTCAATAGACTGTGATAGCCAAGGATATGCTTCTTTTTAAAAGTAAAATATATATTAAGTAGAATTTATGTTATTTACATCAACAACAGCAAGTGCATAAATCTTTGCTTAGTACAGATCATTTAAGAAACAAGTCACTTTGGATCTTATGAAGGTGTAACATGGAATAGGAGTGTTCTACCATAATATTCAGTAAATTTCTGCCTATTTTATCCAGACCACTGGAGGTTTTGTGTCTTTTTTTTTTTTTTAAGATTTTATTTTTACTTGAAAGAGTTATAGAGAGAGAATTAGAGATAAGCAGAAAGAGAGGGAGAGAGACATTTCCATCTGTTGGTTCACTCCCCAAAAAGCCACAACAGGTGGAGCTGACCTTGGCCAGAACCAGGAGCTGCTTTCAGGTCTTTGTGGGCATTGCCTTCCCAGGCCATTAGCAGGGAGCTGGATCAGAAGTGGACGTCGCTGGGACTCAGACCAGCGGCCAGATGCTGACATTGTGGGTAGAGGCTTAGCTTGCTACACCATGGTATCGGCCCCAGCTGGGGGTGTCTGGCCTTATTTTTTGCAGACTGTCATCTTTATTATTTATCTAGTATTTTTTGGTATTTTGTAGTATTCATGTATTTATAAAGTATGTATTATTTATATTGTTTTTAGATAACTGGTGTTGCTAAAACTTGTTGACTAGTTATGTGTGAATTTTCTTTTATAAGATGTTATCCACTAAAAATACTATGCTAGTTTATTTTTTCTTAGCAGTGTATTTAATTAGGTTTCTAGATTTTTTAAGAGGTAAAGATAGCTTTAGATGAAAAACGGGTTTTTGTTTGTTTGTTTGTCTGTTTGTTTGGAGCTAAGTAGTAGTTATTTCACAAAGGTTAAAAGCCTGTCTCAGAATTGACAGTTGTGTTTGATTTTGATGTATGTTTTCCTGAGATAACTTAAGAAATGTAAAAAAAATTACTACCCGAGTGTCCTTAACAGCCCAGACTGGGCTAGGGTTAACCCAAGTACCTTGGTCTCCCGCATGAGTAGCAAGTGGCAAGATGACTCCCTGTCGTCTGCTGCACTGGCAGGAAGCTGGATCAGAAACACGGGAGCCGAGGCTCAATCCTGCGTCCTGATGGGGATTGTGGATGTCGAAGTAGTGGTTTACCCTCTGCCACAGTGTTGTGCTGCCAACTATATGGCTTTTTAATTAATATTTTAAAAATAAAGATGGGCATTTAGCTTAGTGGTTAAGATGCCCAGATCCCATTTTGCATCCACTAGGAAGCAATAGATGATGGTGCACCTAGTTGAGTCCCTGTCACCCAGGTGGGAAACCT